GAGTTTTAGATAGCTGTGCCTTTCAATCTAAATTTACACGCGTTTCTTTTGTCATCACTTGTGAAAAATGAATTGTATAAAGATTTAGGAAAAATCTTTGTCAAAAAAATAAAAGATTTAGGAAAATATGTCTACGAAAATTTACAACTTTTATTTAAATTACAAAAATATATTCATCCTTTAAATATCAGCATCGGTTAGGAAAACAACTTTTTTCGACGTCTACTAAGAGGAACAATAGCACAACTTTTGGATGTTTGGTAATGACAAACTATTGTCAAGTTTGTATGATTTTTGTTAAAATATGGGACATGACGTGATTTAAAGTACTGAATGTATGTTTATTCAAGATCTTAATTATTTGGATAAAAAATCATGTGTGATAAATAAAGATCACAATTACGGTTGATATTTGTTAAATTGTCAATTTGTCACAAGTTATCGTGACATGTTTGGTTGTTAGCTATATTTTTATATGCGTATTTTTTCTCTAACCCATTCTTATCATGTTTGGGAACATAATTCTGGAAAGGAATATGTTGTATGGCCACATCAGGTACAACAACGCCATCTCTATCAGCTTCTCATAGAACAGTGGGCACTTTGTTGGGTGTTCCCCTCTTGAAGCAGAAGCTCGGAAAAATTTACTTAAGCGCAAGGATCCAATGCTGCTCGGAAAATAGGTAAAGTAGCTTTGAGATCAATATCATTGCACTGTGACAACAAAAAAGAGAGATAGAGAGACTAAGGTAAAAAAATCAGTAAATCATAATAGGTAACATAATATTCTTTCATATATTGAAATTTTAAACCCAACTTAAAATACACGCATGCTTGTGAAGGAGATTACCTCAACTTCAAAAGTATGATTCATTGTTTTTTAAAAAAAAATGCAAAAATAGAGGCTCAAAATATTTTAGTTGCTCAAAAAAAAAGATAAAGTTCTGCTCGTCCTCCTGCTGCAGCTATTGTTGTTGCTGCTCCAGTCATACTTACGGTGGATCCAGGCAACCCATAGAACTTGCCAAACGTCTCAAACGTCTGATTCATGACTGTTCCCTCTCTTCGCCTAAAGACTCAAATGTCCTCTCTCTGCACCTATAAGATGATTGAATGAATGCTTCATATCATTTCTTAGGCTCATAGCAAGACAGAACCCTTGTCACGAGCTGACTCAGGTGGATTGTGTTATAGTCATAACCTACGGCTTTGAAGCTAGAGTAACTAAACCCATCTTCAGAGGTCATAAGGATAGTGGAGTTTGCATTTCTGATTCCAGTGTTTTCAGTCATTGATCGGGTCTTTCCCACTTTCATTCTAGTAAAATACCTTGTATAAAACAGTCATGCATATATCGAAGGTTAGACATTTTTGTTGCAGTTGCTAGGGAGTAGGAACTGGCTAGAGGCAGCATAGACATACCTTTCTTTAGACTCATCATCATTTCCCGTCAAGTGATCGCTGTAGAAATAAGAAACGATCTTGGATGCATACAGGTGAGTATTTCGTCCAATTGGGACTTGGTCAGGGCACAGAGACAATGTGCTTCGATCAAAGAAAGTAATCTCGAGCCGCTTCTCTTAACCTTCAAGAACGATTGTGGATAAGACCATAAACACCATCAGGAACCAGCAGGAACAGATCTTAGAATAAAGTAAATTATAGAGTGGATATTGTAGAAACAGATATCTTAGAAGTCTCAGTGCAAGCTACACCTCAGGATGGCTTTTTTAGAGCACTGCAGAGAATATATATATAAACAATTGACTGATCAAGGCACTTGATATTTAGGATTGAAGAGGAGACTCAAACCATCCGAAACTTGATGAACATCTTCAAGGATGTAACCAAGGGGGCTTCATAAGATAAGGAATTGCTACTCTAGACTTCTTTTTACCACCTTTGGAGTCCATCATAATCTCCTTCTTACGTTCTGTAATTAAGATAAACAAACTCATATTGGTAGGTAAAGAGGAACAGAGATTCAGTGTTCAATGATGTATTGAACCCACGATAACCAAAAGGAAGCTTAACACCATAAATGTTGTGATGACAATTTTTCAAAAAAAAAAAAGAAGACAATCATAAGAACTTTCATAACATAAAAAAGGGTCTCACACTGTCTCTCTCTAGAAGCTTCGGAAATTATAAACTCACATGTATGTGACATCACTGAAACCAGGACACAGCCCACCACATGAGATGATCACAACCTTCACTTGTTCCTGTCTGAAGTATATCTTCTTCCTTGGACCAGCATGGGTAATCCTAACAATCCCACAAATAACAATCATAAAACCACTCGACGGATTAACGTTAAAATCCTATAAGATGTTTCTTTGTGTTGGTAAATTACCTACATAGGAGGAGCAAAGGCATCTTTGATACTGAAAGCTATGTGGAGAGCTTCAAACAATCAGTTGATGCATGATTAGCTCTTTATTTTTAATATATTAACTTAAGAAGAGAAAGCGGCACCACAAACCTCTTCATTGGAAGGAGGAAATGACATAAAATAAATTGAACCTTCAATAGTTTCATTGCCATGGATGTAACTTCTTCATAGTAAGTTAATCTCTTCCCAAATACAGGCCTAGAATCTTCAATCTGCAAATATTGGGGGAGGAAGTGTAAGTCTAACCGAAGAAAAGCTTAAGCTCTTCCCAAATACATAGAGCATAGATGCTAAGCTAAGAGAAAAAACAATGAGATTAAACCTCTTCTTCCTTGTCAAACGAAAAGCCATCATCTGCTATTCCATTGAAAGACAAAATCTCATCTTCCTCATCCAATCCACCAAGCCCAACCTCATCCAAAACATCGTTACCTAAAAAGGCATACTGAGAATGAAGCCAAGTATTGAGTAGAACAGACAGTGGGTTAGATTACTGGAAAAAAAGGAAGTGAAGTAATGGAGCTCAGGAAGTCGAAAGGTGAGGGAGCACATCTATTCTAGATTTCTCCGCTCCTCTAATTAACCTAAAATCAGACTATCATTTTCGACTACAAACCAAACCGTATTTCTCAAGATTATCGGACAGAACAGAAATTCAAACCGGGTTTCTCTTGCTGTAACCAAAGCTGACGTGGATGATTAGAGGCTTATTATAGGTTGAATATAAATGCCTATGTGGACAACTTCAGAGGGGTTTATTAAGCCCTTTTATTTATAGTAGATGACACTTTAGTTTAGTTAATTATATGCAATCAATTATTAAATTTTGATATTACATTCTTATAAAAGAACTAAATGATTAATTTTATGATATATAAAAATTAAATGGGTCTAGACATTATCTATACTATTAAAAGAGAAGGAGTTTAAATAAATCTACTTAAAAAAGTTGTTTGGACCCTTTCATTAGACTAACATTTTTAGTCTTTCCTTATATTTCTCTAACTATATAAATACTTTACAATTTAAATAAACTCATTTATTACTTTCTATAATCTATTATAAATTTTCTCTAACAATAAATATTCATGATATTATAACTATGACACTTTAGTTTAGTTAATTATATGCAATCAATTATTAAATTTTGATATTACATTCTTATAAAAGAACTAAATGATTAATTTTATGATATATAAAAATTAAATGGGTCTAGACATTATAAGTTGGAGATTCAAACGAAATTGGTCAAAAATTAATTGAAATAAGATATGTTTATTTATTTTACATGATATATTTTGATTTAATTTTAAATGTAGACTAACCTACTATTTAAATATCAGATAGGTTGAATATTTTTGATAAAAATATTCAGGTAATTCATTGATTTGTCTAATTTGGTTAAAAATAGTATTTTAGGTTATTTAGTGTTTATATATTATATATAATTAATATTTTTAGGTATATAATTTATATAAAAATATTTAAATACCTATTTGGTTTCTCGGTTTGATTTCTATTTTTAGATTCTAGAGATATATGGTATGATCGATTATTTCTGAAATTTGGTTTAATTTAACTTCGCTTATTTTTTTTAATTTAAAAAATTAAGTACCCATTTGTGCATAATCAAAAAATAGAATCCACGCTTCTCAATGGGTTAATAACAATCTTTTGATTTTAAGATCTTTTTACCATATTCATTTTAATAATTTTACAAGACTGAAATAAAATAATAGAACAACAACCCTCTCATTTTATAAATACAAGGTATCTCGAACCCCTTTTACCATCAACTCAATCAAATTTAAAAACACCATCAAAACCAATCAAAATATCTATTCCGAAATATTTAGCTTTACGGTTAACAAAAAAAACCCGCGCTTCTTAAGCGCGGGTCAAAATCTAGTGTAAACTTAAATCTAATTCAGTAAAATTGTTAGCTCGGCTAGTACCTACAAATTTTAAATATATCATAGTATTGTCCCGAAGACAATCATTGCAAGCTTAGAAGTCACTGATTAATCTAAACCGTTAGATCAAAGAAGCAACCCTACTAATCAGTAATGATTTAATATGGAAAGTGGATGATTAAACTTCCATTCGATGAAAAGGCAGATGCATAGACCATAGATGCAAGACACTTGTGTTATTTATGAAAATTTTAGATACCGTATATAAAGTATTCGAATAATCTTTCTCGATTTAAAAATCCTATTTGCTAGTTTTCTCAACTCATGTATTGATTTACACAATAAAAGTAGCTACCACCTTTCTCTGCCCCACTTTAAGATAAAGCTAAAGCATGGGGGAAAAGTAAATATAAGATATAAAATAAATAAATATTTTTAATGAAAATAAATTAAAGGGAAAAAAGTGAGGAAAAGACAAAACTAAATACAGTTAAAAAAAACTTCAAACAAAAATTAACATCACATGTTAACAAATGAGAAAAAAAAATATAAGTTAGTTTTTTCTCTCTCTTTCTCTTCACCAGGAAAACTAAAACTACTTAAGCTAAAGAATCAAACACTTCTCAAAGTTTCTCCAAAGCTCTTGATTAGTAAACACATAAAGAGATCTAGAGAGAGTATAGAGAGAGAAGGTGATGAATAGAGGCGTGTTGGAAAGTTCGCCAGTTCAACAGTTGATGGCTCCCGGAAACCCTAATTGGTGGAACGTAAGCGGCGGCATGAGGCCACCACAACCGTTGATGGGTCATCAACATGGGCCGTTGCCGCCACAAATGATTCCTAACAATTATGCCCGACCACAAATGATGCCAACTCTCTTGCCGCCCTTCATGCCATATCCGGCAACTTCTTCTTCGTCTTCCTCGTCGCCGTCTTTGCCTAATAACCCTAATCTCTCTTCTTGGCTCGAAAGCAATGATCTCCCACCTGAGTCTTGGAGCCTTAGCCAACTTCTTTTGTAACTCTCATCTCTCTCTCCCCTCCATATATAGAGATATTCCGAAACGAGAATATTTTCTTTAAGCAGATGATCTTGAGTTCACCTATTTAACTACATGACTTTGTTTTGTCATGTGTTGTAACCTAATCTTGACTTCCTTCACATTGATATATATATATATATATATATATATATGCATACATATATATTTATAATTAATCAGTTTCCATGAAACCCAAACTTTGATTTGTTTGTGTATTTTTTTTTTTTTTTTGTCACTTGTTTGTGTATTTCTTGTATCTTCAATATCAAATACGCAAATCTAATACGGGTATCTTATTTGTGACCAAAGGGGTGGATTGATGATGGGAGAGGACGAGAGATTGGAGACGATGAACCATCATAATCATCATGATGAACAGCAACACCATGATTTTCAAGGGAAGATGAGATTAGAGAATTGGGAAGAACAAGTGCTAAGCCACCAACAAGCTTCCATGGGGGTTGTTGACATCAAACAAGAGAGTAACATTAACAACAGCAGTGGCTATCTCGTACCTTCTCCAAACTCACCTCCTAACAAGTCTTGTGTTACAACCACAACCACAACAAGTCTAAATAGCAACGATGACAACAACAACAACAATAGTATGTTGGATTTCTCGAGCAATCACAATGGTCTTAATTTGTCCGAGGGTAGACACATTCGTCCGGATCGATCCTCTGAGGTAATTATTATTCCACATCTCTAATAATTTGTTAGAATACAAGTTTTCTTTTTTTAAAAAAAAAACAATCCTGAAAGAAGGTAAAAGAGATAATAGAGAGAAAAATTCTAAACCAGATCTAATTAATAATACATATAATACTAAACACATTAACTACTCTGAAAAGGTGAAATCTAAAAGATCATTTAAAAAGAAAAACATGACAAACCATGTCTTATCTTAAGTTTTGGATTTAAATTCAATACTCAACCATAAGAGATTTTGCAATGATTTTTTTGATTAATGACTAATTGATCTTTATTTTGTTTGTTATCCATATATGATATGAAGTGTAACAGCTTAGAGAATGGTGGGTCTACTAATAAGAAGCCAAGGCTTCAGCCTTCTCCTTCGTCACAATCAACTCTCAAGGTAACTAATTGATTATATCAACGAAACTTTAGTTAACCTATAGAACTTCTACATATAAAATCTCTCCCTGACATCATACTAACAAAACAAAAACACAAGCACAAAAGAGAACAGAAGAAGCAAACAAAACAGAATGGGCACAGAATAAGCTGTGTGATTTTTGTGTTTCGTAACTCTTTTGTTCTTTCTTGTTTTGTCTTCTTCTCCCTTCTTCATTATTCCTTTTTCTTTCTTTCGGGAAAATCAAACTTTAAACTCCTCAATATTCCTTAGATATTATACTAGGTATTAGATTTCAGTTTACTGTAACGTTTTGAAATGTAGTCATGGATAAACTCGTATAAGAATTCGAATCCGATGGTACAATTGTTAGCTGGATGCACAAATATACTGAACCCTTTTCTAGCTATAAAGCAATCACGTTTTCTCTATGCATGGTAACTAGTAAAAAAATATAACGGCACATGCACTTATATAAAGCTTTACTTTATGGTTATGCTATTAATTTGGTGATAATTAAAGGTGAGAAAAGAGAAACTCGGAGGCCGGATCGCAGCGCTTCATCAGCTAGTATCTCCATTTGGCAAGGTAAATATTGAAGATGGTTTTGTAATATAAAAATCTTATTCTAATCAAATCAACTTTGTAACAATATTCTTAACATTTTATCCAAAAAAAAACAATATTCTTAACATTTACAACGAAATAATGATAAAAAAAACGAAAAATATTAGCATTAATATTGAATATAATTTTAAATGTTATAATCTGAATCATTCTTCTTTCCCTTTTTACTCATCTTTTGCAGACTGACACAGCTTCGGTCCTGTCGGAAGCTATTGGATACATAAGATTCCTTCAGAGTCAAATTGAGGTGTGACCCGTCTTTTCCAGACTCAATATTCTCATTTTCCTTTCAGTAGACGAAAGATAATGCTACACTTAACTTCGAGAAACAAATATTACTTGTTACAGTAATCCAAAGTAAACTGAAACCTAAATTATATCAATAATTATTTTGGTATTATTTCTCGGGTATCAGTTTCGTGATTAGTGGAAATCCATCTCAGTATGATATCACTAGATTAACATATTTAGTTATAGGTTATGAATATTATTATAAAAACATTAATATATGCAATCATTTGGTTAAAATGATGATGAAAGAGACACAATAAAATATCTATAAAAGAGAGGGTAGAGATATAAAGAATTTTGTTCTCTCCATGTTAAGTAATATCTGATTGATATATGTATAAAGTATTATGTTTCTTTCTTGAAACTGTTGCAGGCTCTGAGTCATCCATACTTTGGCACGACTGCCTCGGGGAATATGAGGCACCATCAACATGTAAGCACCAAATTTCGTTTATACATATAATGATTAATGTATACAGGATACGCACATATATACAGATATTCATACACATCGTCATACTATAGTTTATACACTGTAACTTATGTACTCATATTAACAAATTTGTCTCAACTATGGTTTTTATACATAGCTGCAAGGGGACAAACGTTGCTTATTTCCTGAGGACCCCGGTCAGGTACACTTCCAGTTTTATATGCGTTATATATAGAGCAATAATTTAAACAATATACTTTTTATTGGATCAACTAAATCCAAATCTAAAAATGTGGACAGCTTTAGTTTCCAACATATATTCCTTTTCCTTTTTACTGTTTTCTTCAAAGATAAAAGTTTTTATATTAAAAGATGCAATCGCCAGCCTTTTTTCACCCTCCATTACATTATTTAATTATAATAACCAACAAAGTTTGTTAAAACCAACAAAGCCACTTTATTTATTTAATTTCAACTTTTCTTCTTATTTGTGTTTTTCATCAAAGTACATTTCAAATTCTTTGGGCGGTCTTTTATTATATGCTTTTAAAAATATTTTATTACATGATTTCCTCTAAAGAAAAACAAACCGAAATATATATATTATATAGAGGTATACCTTACATCTTAATTTTCCATTCTACATGTTGATTCATACTTTTCACATGTTAAGTAGTATATTGAATTGTCCTATAATTATATTGATGATAAAAAAAAATACAATATATATGTATATGTGTTACTTTGCTGTTAATCAATGCAACAAAACTTATAAATTGTTTCTTATTTTTTATATGGCTTTAGCTGGTGAATGATCAGTACATGAAGAGAAGAGTATCGTCGTCTTCGTCTACTGAAACTCAAAATGCAAACGAAGAACCTAAGAAAGATTTGAGAAGTCGAGGTTTATGTCTGGTTCCAATCTCCTGTACACTCCAAGTCGGCAGCGACAACGGCGCTGACTATTGGGCTCCAGCACTCGGCTCCGCCGGTTTCCATTGAACCAAGAGAAATTACGCCACGTGAAATTCCAACCTTAGAGAAAAATTGATATAACATCATGAGCAGTCAGTCTACTGAGAAATCAACAAATTGAGTTTCCAAGGCTGATTGCTCATGATGGTATACAAAAGTACTTCGTTAATTAATACTTTGCTAGAGAATTTGCGTTTGGTGTTTGATGAATATGCGTTTAACGTTACATCACTTTGCGTTATCAGATGCTCAAGCATTATGTCGGTGCGTTAAGAAACTGTTATTTCCTTTACCGGTTCATTGTAATTTGTGGTTACGTACTTATTTAATTACTTCCACGTGGTTTGTATCGTTATTTTTGCTGTTATCATTGTAAATCATGTCTACTGTGTGTTAAATTAGATATAAATCATTGTAAATCATTGTAAAACACACATAAATATAAAACAATTTGCCTGAAAATATAGAGGCTATGAGGTTCCCTAATTCATTTCGCTTTCTAATGCGTGTTTTTTAATATATGTGGGAAATAGTAATTATATAAGTGATAATTTCTTTTTAAAAAAAAGATTAGATAAGTGATAACCTATTAGAAGGAAAAACTCTAAGATGACAACAAAGCGTAAATTAATAATTAATTTTAGTGACTATTTGGGATAATTACTGTGTTTGCTCAATCACTAGATCTAGAGGATGATCAGTGGATCACTAAACAAAGAAGAAGACAGAAGACAAACATTATCACTTTATTAATATTCTTCACTTGGATGAATAACGAATTACTTCTTCTCTTTGGTGTGAAGATCATTAAAGGACTTCTTAGGGTATCTCTCAAAAGCGTCCTCGAAATGTGAACATCTCCTCCAGAGCCAGGTACGACCATTGTTTTCCCTACATCGGAAACGAGACCTGAGCGACCGCTTCCGATGCTAGTACCTGCAGAGTTCATTGCTACAACATCTTTGGTATTCTCAGCATCCATGTGTTGATTGTTAGATTGGAACGGATAACTACTTTGTTATTGTGAAACTAGTGAAGTAGACTGATGGTGATGGGTTGAGGAAGTGTATATTGATACAGAAAGATTGTGGCTTGACCATTATTTTGTGTTGTTACAATCCATTAAAAATGGCCAAGCTCTTCATAGACTACAACTAACCAAGACTTGTTTTGACTTTGAAGATAACTAATACAAGGTGGTTTCATCCGCCAAGAGCATAATAACTCTAAAAAATGTTTATTTATGTTCATTAACTTTTTAAAAATATAAATAACCATTTGTAATTTTTATTTGATTTGATTGTATTTAAATTAGTTTAATTTGATAAATTAATTTTCATATTTTTAAATACTATTTTATACTATTTTATTTCTTTTAAGAATAAATTTAGAAAATGTTTGTTGTGTTGGTTTAGTTAGATTATTTAACTTATATAATATATTTACTAAACCTAATGAATCGAATGCTAATCACTGAATTAATTATTTTATTGCACTTAGATATTAAATACAATTTAGTAATTTAGAAACAATTTAGAAACATGACTAGATTTATCATTACAACGAGTGATAGCTTTAAATATAGCTTTACTTATTTAACTATCCACAAAAAGGTATGAACTTTGATTTTTGATATGAAATAAAGATTATTAAAATTTCTGAGAATCTTGTCAAAATGTAAGTATGTATAAGACATTGATCATGTTACAATAATCTTAACATCATGTAATAAAATGATATTATATTATTTATGAAAAATATGGTAGTGACACAATTATATTACAATTTTATCATTTATAGATGTTTCTCATTAGAAAAATTAGAAATATATAAACTACTAATAAAATAAATTAATATTTTTCATTAACTTTTTTAATGTATAATTTTATAATAAATTTTATGAAAATTTAAGTTATTTTGCTTATATTTTTTTCTTTTATGGTAACTATCATATATTTATTTATTTTTAATATAGAGTTGAACTTTATGTCATAAATTTATTAAAATATGTCATAATTACATAAATCTATGTTTTCATTTTCGATAAGGATTATCATCATTTGTTTGTTAGAATAATCGGGATGATGACACATGTCAAACACAAGATTATCCAGAACCCACATTTATTGAAAGGGCCCAGTAAAAGAGAGTCAGTCCATCGCTTGAACCCCCAACATCATAACTTACTTGCCTTTCCAGACCAAAAGCCTTTTTATAAAATCACTTTTGCGCAAAACTTGCAAAACCAAATTAGATGGCAAAGTAAAGAAAGTAATAAACACAAAATTTAACGATATTTTTTAGAAACGAATCACATTATATTTAGGTGACCAAAATTTACTGGTATCCTTGAGGCTCGCCTGTTACTATTATTTTTGTGTAGGCTTTCTCAGCTTAGGCATTAACGGGCCACTATGGAGTGAGTTAGCTGTTGGGATGGTTCCACTAGTTTGGGTGATATTATGAACTGGCTCAAAATATAAGTTTTATTTAGTTTCTTTTTCTTAATTTCTTCCAATATTACAACTTGATGATAAACAAAAATAACCTCTAAGTGTATTATATATCTGTATGTTTCCTATTTTAGTAGTATCTTATGAAAACAAATTGGTCTAATGTATCATTTTTTACTACGTAAACACATCCGTACTTATTTTGGGCCAGTCCACGGTATTGCCAGTTCCTTTGATCAAGAACGAACTGACTGGTACAATGTTAGACCATCTCCAATGGGGGTTCTATCCCATTGGAGTTCTAAAACTATATATTTGTGTATGTATATATTATATATATGTATGTAATTGTAGGGTCTACCAAATAGTGTAGAACCCTCTTCAAAAGTTCTAAATGTAGAATCATTTAGAACTTTTGAAGAGGGTTCTACACTATTTGGTAGACCCTACAATTACATACATATATATAATATATATATATACACAAATATATAGTTTTAGAATTCCAATGGGATAGAACCCCCATTAGTCATCAGAGAATTGGAAACAAATTGATTATGAAGTTATTAATGTAAATTTACAGGCCCAATGGTTATGAAAAAGGCCGTCAGACCTGTTCATAGGTTGACCCCTATATACATCTTGAAGATGCTATTCAAATATATTATTTGATGTCTTAAAAATCATAAAATTTCACATATTAATAAATAAGCTTTAGAAGGATTAAGAAAATTATATTCCTTTTCTTTTGTAAAAAGTTAATAAACAATCACACTGAATTGTTATATGACCCCGTGTGGGAGCTAAGCCAACAATTTTAGCATCATTAGATTCCCATTATCTCATTATTAAAAATCTAACTAATTCCTAAATTGTGGAGTTGTAAAACGGCCTACAAGTCAACCCTCACTAACATTATGACCATTTAATTATTAATTGTGATTATTAGTAATAGTATTTGTCAGATCCTAATGAACGTAGCTCGTTATCACCAGTGGTCCCAAATCAATGACCAATGTGACAATGTCGTTTTGATTTGATTAACCTTTGATTCGTTCGATAAACTTAGATACTACTTAAGATATCATATTTATATACAATTTAAAAGCATGCATCATTACTTGAACGAAAAAAAAACAAATATTATTACCCCCACAATCTACTTTTGACCGAAATCTTGGCGGGCAGACGAAATCACGGGAGCGCATGTCTTTGATTATTACCACATGTTCGATATTTAACGACATCGTAAAGATGCATTTGCCAACAGTATCACAAAATATTATAATAAATCAGAACTATCTATTTATTTTTTTCCCCCTTTGGATTATATAACTCACTTCATTTTAATTGTATACTCAAATAGTGTACCTTTTGCTATATATATAATGTAACTATGTAAACAATATAATCAGATATATAAAAATGTCCAGCATTAATGTTCAAATAACAATTAAGGAGACTAATTTATATTATCCAAATCCCATTTTTATCATTAACAGTTACCGAATCAAGATGTTTGATGTAGTTAATTATATTATTCATATTCTTTGTCTTTGGGCATTATAAATTTTAAATGTCAAAAACTAATTAGGACTATATATAATTTATCTGTGGTTTGTATTATTTGTCTATTAATATTTAACCTGTATATTGCTGGAAAACAATAACGAATATCAGACTAGTGTTCTAAAGTAGATTTGATTTACGTCAAAAAGATTGAAAGCGCTCGTTTGAAAGAGAATTTCATCGATGTCAAACGAAATGTGGATTTCATATATAGTGTTTTTCAACATGCTTTGATCGTATTTAGGACTGTCTAACAGTATGTTCTACTGCAGCGGTCGAACAGAACTCAAATCTAAAAAAAATATATATATATTAAGAAATTTTCAAAAATAAATATATAAATATAGTTTAAAATATCAAACGTGTACACACTCTTTTAAATTTATAACTTATAATTTAAAGAAAACCGCAAATATATATACAAAAATATTAACTTTAAAATTATTTTATTATATCATTAAATATATAGTTAATTTTTTTGAACGAGATCCTAATATAATTCGAGATGGCCCTGACCGTATTGCAACGTTACGTAAACTATTTATGAATATTTTTTTTGAATGGAGTATGTCTTATCGATTGCTTTGTTGCAGACTGATGTGGCATGTCATGGGAACTCTATGGTGGCGGGTCTTGGGTGGTTTGTGAAGAATGCTACCGTTAGACCATGATTAATGAGGGGAGTTTAGTGGGGGTGTTTAGGAAGGAGATCCATAAAGTTTAGAAAAACTGGTAGTAAAGTGGTCTGAATAAACATTCATTTTTGTGACTTGTGAGATACTTGTATTATTTATAGATTTTATGGACACGTGACAATCCATGAATGGTATAATTTTTAAAAAAAAAAAAATCTGACAAAATAAATAAAAATATAAAATAAAATAAGCATCCCATATGGGGTACTTTGGTTAATCATGCCCTTAATTCCTCCTTCCAAGTACGTTGCCATTTTGTTAAATCCCCGCTGGCAGCTGAAAGTCTGGCACTAAAGGAAGCTATTGCTAA